GCTCTCTGGATGATCCTCGCAGCTCAAAGAGAAATGGCGTGTAAGGTAAGAACCAACGCCCATTCTCTATAAAAAAAAATTTTTTTGTATTTGAAATAGAATGGTGGTCCAGCATAATACATATACAGTCTGGGCTAAAGTTGGTTCTATCACCTAATGTGTTGTCTTATAGTAGTTTCCTCACCCCTTTGACTACTTCAGTTGTGGGAATGCAGGTGAAAAGTGACATCATAAGAAACCATTGTTTCATCAGGGTTCAGTTCCTGAACCTTGCTGACAATGTCCTATGAGTTATTGGTGTAATGGGTGATGCTGCCAACCAGAGGAGCTAATAAGGTGGCCAAATGTTTTGCAATGTTGTAAGTGTCTGAGTTGATGCTGCTGACAATTGGCCTGAATGGAGTTCCTTCTTTCTGTATTTTAGGGAATCCATATATGCATGGAGCAGCTTCCCCAGGGCAAAGGCAGTATTTTGACTTGTCAATGTCACTGTCCTTCAGTAGTTGTTGCAGGCAATCCATAAATTATAAGTGTTGGCAGGATCTCTCTTCAAAGCCTAATACTTAGCAGTATCCTTTAGTAAACTGTTCACCTTGACTTTGTAGTCATTTCTGTTCAGGACTACTATGCATCTTTCTTTATCAGCTGGCAAGATGATGACACTCAGGTCTCTTCCTAGGGATGTCACTGCTTACTTTTCTTGAATTGTGAGGTTGGAAGGGAATGTTTTGGCACCGATGAGAGCAGTTAATATCTGATCTATCTTCCAAGTAGAATTCCCATATTATTCATAGCAAAGCAGCCACCCCAATGCAGAAGTGTTTACTGTTTCTCATATCAAAATGCCATCTGCCACTGCAGGGCAAAAGCGATGTACATATTTTGTACTTTCCCTTGTGGAAAAATCAAAGGTATGGGGAGAGGAAACTGGGCAATTCTGAACAGAAACACAGCAGAGAACTAATTTTCACTTTTCTGCTCCAACATCTTTTTCTACTTCAATAACAATATGAATTGGGAAGGAACTTTGATTACAGGTAAACATAACCAATTGTTTTTCTTTATATAGCAAGCATGATATAAATTTGAGTGCACAAAAATAATGAAAACTCAAATATTTATGAAGTTATGAAGATCCAAGCAGTCTTATTGGTTAACTCATCCCAGATCATCCCACTAGACTGAGTCTCATGCAACTTGGCTGGACTTGCCCAGTTGGAGTCCAAGTCGTAGTGGATCTGAGAGACTTTATCTGGCAGACAGCCAGAATATTCCTTCCAGCAGCCCTGCACATTGTCCTGTGGTTTGTCCCTGTCCAATAGACAGTTTGTCTAGATGGCAATTAGGGCTTTGGTTGAACAATCCACTAGATACCCAGAATCTCTCTGGAATCCCGCTGGGTCTAGCAGTTGTCTGGGTGAGGCCCTATCTCCCCAAAGGGGAAGAAGCACCAATGTTCTGGAAGACTAGAGTGATCTGTCCATGGTAATGTCCTCCTCTACCTGATCAACGGGCCCTGAGGAGGGGAAAAACTGATTTAATGTGCAACTCTAATTTGTATTATGCCACCATGATACAAATGATTTGGGATAGATTCATGCTAACCACGGAAGCCATGAGCTCCTGCATGGCTACAAACTCTATGCCACCAGCTGGCAGATTTCGCTAGGAAAGAATCAAGGAAGAAATATACATGCTGAATATTTAAGTTATTTCAGACCTAATTCTCATAGGTAACTTAAGAAAGTTGTCAAGCACGATGTAGCTCTATTGAAACTCCACATTTGTATACTAAAATAAAAAGCTATTCTGGGATCCTTGGGGCTCACTGAGCCTGATGATTTTCTTGCAGACATTTTATTATTCAACTAGGTAACATCATTAATCCTAGAAGGGAGTAACGTTTGCTCTTATTTTTATATACTAAAAATGTCCCAGAATTCAAGATAACTTTTGAGCAAATAGTTAAGTACACTTTAGGAAAAACTGTATTTCTGAAAGAAATGTAGAAACCCATTTCATGTACACTTCTATCATAATGGTTTCTATGCACACACACATACATAAAGATCTCAGCAAATATTAATCATATAAGAAGCAAACATGTTACCTTAGAATGGGTTGCATTTTTCCAGATAGTTAGCTGATATTTTAACGTGTCTAGCGTCCACATTTTTTTTTGATCTGCCTCAGGATGTAAAATATTGATTTTTACATCTCCATATATTGATTCAAACCACACTTCTGGAGGACCCACTTGAGCTATAGATGAAAATATCAGCAGAAAAGATTAATAGTACTCACTGTGAATAATTTATACATTGTACTAAACCATAGTCCTAGGATAGAAGAGGGTGGGATACCTATTGTCATCCATACTGGCATCAAGATGCATTATTTCCTAAATTTTATTAACTTGTTTGTGGTTAGGTCCAAAGGGTCATTGGTCTTACTATTGTGTCCCATTCCTCCCCATCCCTATCAGTATCCTTGCCAGAGTTTCTCAGCCCATCTACTAAGGTTGTAGAATTCCCCAAACTGATGTTGGATGTCTACAACTTGCATTCACTAGAACAGCCCAGGAATTAATGATTACCAGGACAACCATAGACCTGCCTCTTAACTCACCATTCCCTTGGCTATATCTCTTTGCCCTGTCTCCTAAGATCAGGGATGTCAAATTCGCAGCCCACAGGCTGAATGCATCATGTGCTGGCCATGCCCATGCCCGGTTTAGCAAAGAGGGGAAAAAGTCACGATACATCACGTAACGCCGTGAGTTTGGCAACCCTGCCCAAGATCATTCCTACAATACAATACCCTTTGGTGACCACATAATTTCTGCAGCTGCATTGGTTGCTGATTGGTTTGCAAAAGCTGTCAATTATCTTTAAGGCCCTATATAGCTCTGAATTAGGTTATATGTAGAATTGCTTCTTCCCATATTAATTTGCCTATCTAATCAGGCTGAATATGGTCCATACTCTCCAGATCCTGTCTATACAAGAAATCCATCTGACTGACAGTCTCAAAAACTGATATTTTGATTATTGCTCTCATACCCTAATTGCCTCCCCACAGAGATCCTTCTTTCCCATCCTGATTTAAACAGCAATCAAGACCACGTTATGCCACTAAGCATAGGAAGACAAACGTTGTAACAGAAGATTTTAATTGGGTAGACAGGTGTTTGTGTATATTTGTTGCGTAATTCTGAATCTGTATATGGGTTATTTTAGAGGTAGGTTTTTTAAAGGCATTTTAAGGCATCTTCTTACTCTGCGAAGCATTAAAACAAAAATAAAGTAAGATGAAATAGTTTATTTACAGCATAGTGGAATGCCAAAGGTAAAAATTATTATGAATTAGTCCACAAATCATGGTTAAAAAAATGGCATGATATAATGTGTGAACCCAACCATAGGTACTGTCTCCAGTTCAGCAGGCTGAAACATAAATATAATTAAAACAAATGACAACTAAATATTTATTGTAGCTTTTTAAATCAAAACTTTGTAACACCTTTGCTTAGAAGCAGTACCTATATCTTGGTCCAAGATGAGAGCAGCAACAATTGCCATACCTTATTCCCTGTCCTTGCATAGTTCCTCTTGCTGACCTGCTCCTCCACTTTTCAACAAATAGAATGATTCATTGTGCTTAATAGTAGCTAAAGAAAGTAGGGTGGGACTGGGGTCAGTGACAATATCAAGCTTCATTGGCAATAGCCAAGAATTGTCACTGAGTTCCCCTTTATTTAATTTCTACCTGAGCATATTGGATAGCTTTACCTGGTTCTCCATAAATTTCCTCTTTATTCCATGAAACAGTTAGGAAATTAAAAAGCAAGTTAATTATTTAAAAGGCAGCAATCAAGACTTTAGAACCCAATGACCAAGAAGGGTCTAGGAAAAAATAGGTTGCCCATGGCTGCCTCAAGTGGTTCGAGTAGGTCCCAAATAAGAAAGACAGCTGGTAGAAAAAAGACAACTGCTTTGGAATATGGCACCTGGCAATCCTACTCAATGGTTGCCATTGTGGGCAATCAGCCATTTCTTATCCACAAGGCGCAAAGAAAAATGTATTTTTTTTTAAAAAGGGAATGATCAAAGTTGTCCTGTTTTGGGTTTCAATCTCAAACCCATTCAGTTCCTAGGTGAAAATAGCAAAATCCCCTCAAGGCTGAACAGATAATGGCAGGCAAGGCAAGGAATGTAAATCAAAACAGAGTCCCTTGGAAAGCTTCACTTTCAGTAGGAACATACAGAAGGGAAGCCAAATCCATTGTGAAGTTCAGAGAGCCAAGGCTGGTTCGTCAGCTATTCTAAAAACCAGGAGACACCATAGCAAGAGATCTTGACAGTTGTTTCCAGGAGAGAAACACGTATCAGCGATATTTCTTCAATCAAGCTTCAGCCAGCTGCCTTTAATCAAGGGATTTACTCCCTTGCTCAGCAGGGAACTTCATTGAGGGTCTTTGCTCCATTCTTTGCTCTACTCACAAAGTCCAAGGGCTTGAAGGTTGTCCAACCTTATCTGACTGCTCCAGCTGGTCCAATGGTATCTGTACTTGATCAGCCTCATGTGATTCCTGCCTTGGGGTCCCTGAGGCTGACATTCCAGTGGTTCAGCTGGAGCAGTTTCTTCAGAGTCTGAATCCCGGGGCCATGACAAAAGTAAGATGGAAGAACTAGTCTGAACCTCCATAAAAACCAGAAGCTTGCTAGTTGTAAAAAAAAAAGTGCTAATTAAATGTGTTGACAACTAACACCATGTGGTCAGAAATATCAAAGACTAAAAAAAAAAAAGAAGGTTCAAATTCTATTCAACCATGAAGGGTTGAGGTAGTTCGGGATCATCCACTTCTGGGCAAGAACTCAATTTCACCTTAAAAAGAGGTGTCTTTAATCATTCCATCATTGCAGATTTCAACAGAAGCCCTTCACTTGAAAAAGGATACAGAACTACTCTTTCTGATCATAATACCATGTTCACACATCATGCTAAACTATAGATTGTTTTAACTATGTTTTACTGGACAATATTCATAATTAGTGTTGGTCTCTTTCACAATGGATGTTAAAACAAAAGTATTCCATAATGAGTCTGGAAATCCCTCTAATTGTACTGCGGACTTCTGATACAAAGGTCCAAAGTTTGCAGTGCCACTTCTTATCATTGTGAGACAGTGAATATATAAAAATGGCAGCAGATACCCTAACACTGCATTTTAATAAAGTCAAACATACAATATAACCCTGCCTCCAACTATCTTTCAGAATGGAGCACGGACAATAGAGTCCACCACTTCATAATCTCCTTGTATATATTTCCCATGAAAAGTTAAATGTAATCCCAAGACACTGACAGGCTTCTTAGTTCTGTTCTACATATTACTTATTTTTATATTTAAATATAACTGCAGACTTTAATTCGAGAGCATGAAGTACTCCAGCCTTTGTTATTATGAGCCACGGTGGTGCAATGGTTAGAGTGCAGTACTTCAGGCTACTTCTGCTGCCTGCCGGCTGCCTGCAATTTGGCAGTTCAAATCTCACCAGGTTCAAGGATGACTCAGCCTTCCATCCTTCCGAGGTTGGTAAAATGAAGACCCAAATTGTTGGGGGCAACATGCTGGCTCTGTAAACCACTCAGAGAGGGCTGTAAAGCACTGTGAAGTGGTATATAAGTCTAAGTGCTATTGCTATTCTGTAAATTCTCTAGCATTAAAGTTAAATAACACGAGCTTAAACAAATATTAGCAGAGTGCACTGTGAGTGTACGTTCCTTCTGTCTCACTTTTCCTCTGATGTTAGCCCAAGAAGGAAGAAATATGGATGTTTATAGCTATACTTTTAAGAAATTAAGAAAACAGCAATAGCACATTTCTTGCAGAAAGAGGAACTGTCATTTCGAATGCAGGGTAGAAAGAGGGAAAGAGCCTGCATCTTTTGTGACATTTATTATTTTTTAAATGAAAGATTAAGAGATAATCACAGAGCTCTTGGGAAATGTTTGTATATCAAGGAAAAAGAGAATTTGGCATGAAAGGAAGGTGGCTAATGTAAAATTGAAAAATGATAAGTTGGAAAGAGTGAGTTTTCTAGCCTTAAGAGATAATGAGTGAGTAAAAAGGGAAGGGTTACCACCAGTAGTAAAAAAGATAAGAAATGAATAGGAGAAAGAACTTATCGGTCCAAAAGTAAGCTGTCTAATAAACACATGAATGGGGGACAATGAGTAGCTGCCAAAGAAAAAGGTATCATCTCCTCTATTCCCTTCTCTGTCTTCCCAAGAAAGATAAAAAGTTTCCATTCTGAAAGCATCTCTTGAAAATTCTGAAGTTCTACTGTATAATGGTGGAACAAGAAGAAAAGACAAGCTTCTCTAATAAATGGAAAATTATTTAATAACTCCAATAGAAACCCATAGCAACTTAAAGCCTGATCATTATGTAGCAATAGAAAGACACATACTTTCAGCTCAGTCCAACTCCTAATAACCCCACGGAAACCCATTTGGGGTCTCTGATAACAGAGCAAAAGAGAATTGCTATTGCCTTAATCTCTTAAAAGATTTCTCTGTGTTTTCACCAGAAACAAAAGGAAAGGGAATGTTTCAAATGCTTGTAAGAAAACACATTTTATTATGTGAAGGCCCAACACGTATTAGAAAATTCTTTTATGAGGAACATTACAAAACAAAACTTCATGATTTGAATTTTCACCCAATAAATCTATTTTCCTACTGGCACTCTGCTATGAGGAAGGAAGTCACGCCCTCTTCTCCAAGTACGAATGAGGTGTGACATATCTTCTTCTAGATTCAAGCTTCTAATTTCAAGCAAAATCACTAAGATACTGTTATTGCCTGTTGACACAAGTAAAATAAAGATGTACATTTAATTACCAACTTTGTTTTCTAATGTGAGTAAACAAGGCAAAGGATTCATACCTTCTATGTAAGGAATAAATTCTAAAAAGGCATAAGGAGAGTGATTTTTCAGAGTGTTCACTCTTATAGCCACTTTATAAGATTCCAAATAATCTGAAATTGTTGAGGAGAGATCACATTCTGTGATAGTTATATTCTGACATTGAGGAATAGCTGCCCAGATTTCAGAGCGTCTGGAAGAACTGAAAAAAGAAAGCAAAAGGTCTTGGACACATTTTCAAATAAAATGCTAGGAACCAGTCATTCATGAAAAAACAAAAGAAAGAATGTTATTACGCCTACGTTGGAAGCTTTTATTTATTTATTAGACTTACATATTACCCATATCATCAACAGAGATTCTAGGTAGCTTACAATCACTTAATAAAATGCCAGTATGAAATATTAAAATAACAAATAGTAAGATTAAGTTTGAATTAAAATTGACAAATATAGAGAGAAAAGGAGCAAGAGGCACATGGGGAGGAGGTGGGGGGTCTTGTCTTAATCCATTAAACACTCCATACCCCTATTAGGGCCCCAGGGTATTGGCAGAGCCGGGTCTTTAGGCCCTTTCGAAAGGCCAAAAGGATGGATATGCAACTCACCCCAGGGGATTAGGGGACAGGGCACTGTATTCCGGAGGGGAGGAGCCAGGGCAGAAAAAGCTCCTGGACTCTGCCAGCTGGAATTCCGTGACCGATGGAAAATTATGGAAATATCCCATATCCTTTGCAGCACTCTATCTTGCCCCATATATTAAATATATACTTTACTAGCTTGATACCTGTGCTTCGCTACAAAACTATGTGGTCAAGCTTAGTTTTTGGGGAGGAAAATAAGGAAAAAAAATTCTGCCTCTGCCTACCAGCATTCATCAGTATTCATCTGGCTTGTGTCCTGTGTGTGAGAGAGTTGAGGGCTGTTTGGAAACTGAAAGAATACTTGCTGTGTGAACAAGGAGACAGCAAGGAGCCTGGGTGTGGCTTAGCTCAACTGTTCTGTACTAAATCTGGTTGCTGCTGTGAAACTAAAACTGAAACTCCTCTTCTTGTGTTTTGCATTTGGAACAGATTTCTTTCAGTTGGGGAGGGGGAGTAGAACTCCTTAACATCAGAGTGTGCTAATAATAATATACGAAATGCTAATGCTCTGATGGTCACTTCGAAAAATCCTTTCTTAGTGAGCACCTAGAAGCCAAGAGGAACATACACGCCAAATTTCAAGTTTGTAGGCTTTACGGTTCTGGAGATTTTGTGATGATGCGTGAGTGGTATTTCGCTTTTATATATATATAGAAGATTTTTTTAAAAACCAGATAAACCTGCCTTGAAAGCATCAAGAACACATCTACATCTACAGTGTTGTTCATTACCATTCCTGCTTTAAAATAACAGAAACTTTATATGCTGCATCTGCCTAATTTTAACTGAAATAGAATTCTGTTCAAGAGTGTTGCAAAACAGGATAAAATGTATACTTACCTGAGGTATTGTACTGAAAATGTTACATTGAGCCCACAAGGATTATCCCAATCCCATTTCAGCGTAATATTTGCATTAATAACACTGGTGGTAACGTTTTGTGGGTGTTCCAAACATGTTAAACCTGTGAATATTTTAGAAAAGAACATAGTAAAAGTAAAAAATGAGCAGCTTAAAATATTATGGGATTTCTGAATTTAGACTGATAAAAGTCCTTGCTCATAACACACCAGATATAATTGGTTGAAAAGAAGAAAGCGTGGATAAATACTAGGGTAATAGTAGAATACAAGACAAAGAATTGGAGAAGATCACAAAGTATCAAGATCTGAAAAATGAAACTGAAAGATTATGGCATAAACTGGCAGTGGTGGTCCTAGTAGTTATTGGCACAGTGGGTTCATACCAGAAAATCTTGGAGCAAAAAACATGTGCCTTGACAAAGTTGCCAGCTGTCAATTACACAAAGCCATACTGCTTGAATCCACATATGTATTTGAGAGGAGAATAGTCAACTATTGTTATCTTTCCCACCTCAGATTCACCCAAAGTAGCCAAATCTCCTACACCTATCTCCAACCCTCTAGGCCAGGGGTCCCCAACCACTAGACCATGGACCAGTATTGGACCACAGCCTGCCAGAAACTGGGTCAGGCAAATAAGCAAAGCCCTATTCACAGGATGCAGGCAGCACATGAAACCACGCCCCCTCTGGTCTGTGATAAAATGTCTCTCCACGGAACCGGTGCTTGGTGTTCAAGAGGTTGTGGGGGCACTGCTCAAGGCCCCACATCTCTGGTGATCTTAGAAAAAGATGTGTTTGGTCTACTTCATAGACAAAAGACAGGAAAAGCCCCAGACCCTAATAGAGTAATTCCTTTTTTCTTGAAAAGTTGTGCTGAACAACTGGCCCCATCTTCACCCGCATCTTTAATCACTGGAGATGTGCTATGTCCTTTCTTGTTTGAAATGCTCTACTATCATCCCAGTTCCCAAGACATCCTCCAATCAAGGAGAATGAATGCCTACAGACTGGTTGTTTTGACATCTGTAGTTATCAAGACCTTTGAGAAGTTAATGCTCACCCGCCTGAAAATCATTATGGAACAACTGTTAGATCCCTTGCAGTCTGTCTATTGAACAAATACCAGTAGATTGGCAGATGATGCTCTAAATATGGCACTGCACGACACTTTGCAACATCTTGAATCCCCAGGGACCTTTGCATGGGTCCTTTTCGTAGACTTCAGCTTGACATTCAATATCATCATTCCAGAAATTTTTCACTTCACACTGATTCCGCTAACTGTACCTGTCCATACTTTTAGGTGGATTATTAGCTTTTTGACAGATACAAAGCAACAGGTGAAGCTAGGAAAAATCACATTGAGCACCTGGTTGATTAACACAGGTGTTCCGTAGGCTATGTATTCTCTACACTGCTCTTCTTTCTCTACACCAATGACTCCATCCCAAAAGATCTCTCTGTTAAAGCATTGAACTTTGCAGGTGATACAACAATAACTGGTCTCATTTGAGGTGGTGATGAATCTGCATATAGACAGGAAGTTGAACAACTGGCCCTGTGGTACAGCTGGAACAATCTGGAGCTGAACATGATTAAAACTGTAGAAATGAGTGTGGATTTTAGGAAGACCACCACTTACTATATTTGACAGCACAGTATCAGAAATAGAAGTATTCTTGGGTTCTATAATCTTCCAGAATTTGAAATAGACACCTAACATTTGAACCATCATTAAAAAGACAGAACTAAGAATGTTCTTCCTGTGTCAATTTAGAAAGTTCAGACTGCTCCATGAGCTGTTGATAGTTCTACAGAGGAATTATTGAGTCTGTCATTTATACTTTGATAATTGTCTGGTTTGGTACAGCAATTAATTAGGACAGGCACAGGCTCCAACAGATAGAACTGCAAAAAGAACAATTGCAACCAGCCTGCCTGCCATTGAAGACCTGTATATTGTATGGGTCAGAAAGAAGCTGAGAAAGTATCTACAAATCCCTCACAATATAAATTGTTTCAACTCCTCCCCTCAGGATGCTGCTATTTTATGCCAAAACAACTAGACACAGGGATAGTTTTTCCCCTCATGCTATCATTCTGCTGAATACCTAATTCTCACAATATTATTCTATGTCAATTTACCCTTATTATGTGGTTATAGTATTATTTTTATCCTTCTCATTTTTTCTACTATCCCAGTTGATTCACTGATTCATTTAGCAAATGCAGTAAAAATGTAAAAAATCAATCTGACTCATTTTATGACAGTTTTGATTTACCATCCTAATGGTACAGCCTCCATTAGGTTGTACCTCAAGGACTACCTGTATATTATAATAATGATAATAATAATAATAATAATTAATAATAATAATAATAATACCCCAACCTTAACAATTCCTAGATCCTTGGTTAGGACTCAAGCTGTTGAACTACCAACCAGCCCCAAAGACTGTGAATCTCACTAAAGATTAACCAATAATAATAATAATAATTCAAAAATCACCAATGATGGCTTTGTATCTATAACCCAATAAGCAATCCCCTGTTGATGATTTTCTGATTTTTTTTACATGTGAAGGGAAATTCCACCCATTTTTGAAAACAGTGAAGGCAAACTAGAAGGAAAGCAATAAGCCAAGGGTCACTGGTTTATTTATGTAACTATTAGGCAACTCCAATCCAAGGGACTATGAGGAACCTACCATATGCAATCAGTACACAGGGTTATAAACAAAACCTCAATATTCACTTCAGTGCATATATTCTCTCAAAGTAGCGTGGCACTCTGAATCTTATTTAGGATATCCACATTTGCATTACATTCTTAATTTAATTATTCTCATTAATGCTAATTCATGGCTAACACAAAAAGCATGAAATTTAGCAATAGCAAGATAGCAAGATTATAATGTTTGTTGAAAAGAAAGTTACAAGTGAAATAGATCCCTGAAGCATTTTTAGACTGAATCATAGCCAAATTATGTTTTACAGGAAAGTGTGCAGCAGAGCTTGTGTTAAGTCACAGAATTTTATTTTTGATGTGTGTGACAGCAAAAGACAGGACCATGTGATGTGTTGCCACCCTCAGGAAATTGTCTTGTGGTTAAAGTATCAGGCTAGAAACCAGGTGACTGTTCTAGTCCTACCTTTTCATGAAAGCTGGCTGTGTGATTCTGAGCTAGTCATTCTCTCTTATTTGTTGCAGGGAAAATGGGAAAAAGAAGGAGTATTAGGCATGTTCTCCACCTTCAGTTATTTATTAAAAAAATAATAATAATGAAGGTAGGAAATAAATAAATAAAATTATACTCTTCCTGGAAAAATTCCTTCTTGGAGAAGGCCTGCAGAGAGAAATGCCTTCATCTTATGACTAAGAATACATCAGTTTGTACAAGTTAGAACCAGGCTTTAAGGGCCCATTGTGACCAATCAGTTGTGTATTTTGAACAAACTAAGTTACAACTATACTGCCCCTAAGATATTAGGATCATAATAGACAATAAAGATCATTTATGTTATTATAGGGCAGGGGTGTCCAACCTTGGCAACTTTAAGACTTGTGGAATTCTGGGAGTTGAAGTCCACAAGTCTTAAAGTTGCCAAGGTTGGACACCCCTGTTATAGGGAGTTTTTTCTACTGAAGGATATGATGAAACTGGACTGTGATGTAAAAAACAATCTTAGTCACCCTAACTTTTTTAATCAGTTGGGCACCAGAATTTTGGAACTGGCTGTCTCCTTGAAAGATGATCATCGTGGCAGAAAACTTTCTAGATACAGTTAGTCCTCAACTTATGATCACAATTGAGCCCCAAATGTTCGTTGCTAAGCAAGACAGTTACTGTGAGTTTTGCCCCAATTTACCACCTTTCTTGCCACAATTGGTAAAGGAATCGCTGCAGTTCAGTTAATGACATGGATGTTAATAAACTTGTCAGAAGGTCACAAAAGGTGATCACATGACTTCAACACACCCAGACACTAACTACAGCCATCATAAATATAGACCAGTTTGCAAGCGTCTGTATTTTGATCATGTGATCACGGGGATGCAGCAGTGGTTGCAAGTGTGAAAAATAGTCATAAGCCATTCTTTCCAGTGCTGTTGTAATTTTGAACTGCCACTAAATGCATGGCTGTAAGCGGAGTACTACAGCACTTGTATGGAAACAGAGAGCGAGTAAAAGAAAGTAAACACTGAAAAGATATAAAGAATCCACTGAGGTTTATTCTTCTTATTGTCTTAAACTTTTAAGAGCAGGGATCGAAAACACAAACAGACTTGGAGCCTCAGCGGTCCAAACTAAAATTTTAAATAATGTTCACAATGAGATGTCTAACCAAGGAGATAAACTGACCTCGGAGCAGCACTTTGAGCATAGCTAACTGGGGAATTCTGGGAGCTGAAATCCACAACTCTTCAAATTGCCAAAGTTGGCCACCCTGCTCTAGACTTTCCAATACGAAGGACCAGCCTTTTTCTCTGCCTGGGCAAGGAACTCAGTCCTAGCCAGGTAGCCCAAAAGGGAGGAGGGGGAGTTTGTTTATAGTGGCCCAATAAGAGTTATCTGCTTTCTATGAAGCCTCCTCTTCATCCTCCTCTGGGATCTGCTGTCTCCCTCAACCTCCTGCTCCAATCCTGCCCCCTTGCACTTGCTCCTTCTTCAGATCAGCCTTGATGTTTAACAAGTGCTCAGATAACGTATAATCAGAGTTGGAAGGGACCTTGTAGGTCATCTAGTCCAACCCCCGCCCAAGCGGGAGACCCTACACCATTTCTGACAAATGTCAGTCCAATCTCTTCTTGAAAGTCTCAAATGATGGAGCCCCCACAACTTCTGAGGGCAAGCTGTTCCATTGGTTGATTGTTGTCACTGACAGAAAGTTTCTCCTCATTTCCAGGTTAAATCTCTCCTTGTTCAGTTTCCATCCATTATTCCTTGTCTGGCCTACAGGAGCTTTAGAAAATAGCTTGACCCCTTCCTCCTCTCTGGGGCAGCCCCTCAAATATTGGAAGACCGCTATCATGTCTCCCCTGGTCCTTCTCTTCTCTTCACTAGCCAAGCCCAGTTCCTGCAACCTTTCTTCATATGTTTTTGTCTCCAGTCCCCTCATCACCCTGGTTGTTCTTCTCAGCACTTTTTCTAGTGTCTCAACATTATTATTATTTTGCTGATACTCTGAGGGTGTGGTTGACTCCCGGCAGGCTGGTATTTTCTCTTACCACAGTGAGATCAGGGGCAAAAGGGCCAGGGTTGAAAAGGGACCATTATTTCTTCATGGCCTTTTCCAGCCTTCTTTCTTTTCTTTTCAAAAGACACTGAGTTCCATTGAGCTCCGTTCTTCGGTACGATGGCTGGTCAACGGGCTGGTTTCTCAGAGGCTGGGCAAGCAAATCACGGCTCTCGTTCCGGAATCCCCTTCCTCTTATCGCAAGAGATTAGACTGTTATCTCCGATAAAGCGGAAGCGCTCTCAGCTTTCTCTCACGATCGCTTTCTCTCCCTGTGGCTCACGGCCGAGCCCAGAATAAGAGACACTTCATCCCTGCTGCTGATTCTGAACATCACATCCAAAGGGACACTAAATCCCATCTCAGAGAGAGAGAGATGAACGAACTTACCCGTGCTCTTCGACCCCATTCCCAGCGCGGCTGCCACCACAAGCCATAGGCGCGCCCCTTCCATGCCTCGCCCCAGCTGAGAGCCGTTCCGAAGCGATCCGAGCAGCCATTCACGAGAGCCGAGAACCTCGGGCTGCGATTGTGGCCTTGCCCAAAAGAGTCACGTCACATGACCGGACGGGCTGCAACCTCTCGATGTGCCCAGCCTAGCACCCTCGCAAAAGGAAGCCTTTATTCACATAGATAAATAGAAAGAGCAGAGGAGCACGCTGAGGAGCACGCTTTTCTTATTGTTTTTCACTTCCGTTTTCCCTTTTCTATTGCGGGGGATTGAACGAAAGCATTGCGCGTTTGCAGGAACGTCAAAGAATATTCAGCTGAATGTTAGGTTGCATCTTGACAGAGCAATAATTGAGCTAAAATTCTTTGGCCGCTTTGGAAATTCAAAAGAGCTACTCATCTGAGCAGGTGCACATGAGGGAACTACACTTTCTTAGATAGATAGTGCAATGTATAACTAACATTGGCCTATCGTTGTGTATCTGTCTTTCTTAGGAACACTGCCGCTTTCAACAATATAAATCTAAGAAATGGACTGCACTGAACTGGGAGACAGTCTGATTGTAGTATTTCTCAGCCTCAAAAGTGATTTTCTGAATAAAACGGGAGTGGGTGGGTGGGTGGGTGTTTAACTCTAAGTTAAAGGTCGATCTTTGAAAAGAATTATAGAAAATAGAATATAAACTCCTTACTCTTTCTGAGATGGGAGAAGCTGGCAATACACATAGACCCTCTTTGATTAGGGCAGGTGTCAACATGGAATGGGCCAGATAGAATAAAAACAGGTTTCAAACAAATAGATGTTTGAATGGTTAAAAATCCAGACTGTGGGGGTCTTTGGTGCTCTCTCATTGATGATGCTACTTTGGTAATGAAACGTCTGCAAGAAAACCACCAAGCTGAGAGAGTGCAAGGACACCACAGCTCAATGTTGAGCCTCAAATATTCTCTTCAATCAATCTAGACACTTTTAGTATTATGCTTTTTTATAAATTCCTAACTTTCTCAAACCATTAGGAGCAAATAGAATAGTTCCAAATCCTAAATCAGAGATCTAATTAAATCAGCCCCATTCATACTACAGTGGAACCTCAGATCGTGAAGACTTCTGTTCGCAACCAAATTGGGTGATGACCAGAATTTTTGCTTCTGTTTTGCTGCTAGTCGTGAACAGACCACGGTGATTTCCCCTTCAGCACCATTTGTTTTTTGTTTTGGTCCGTGCATGTGCAGACGGTTGTGCTTCCGGTCATGACCAAATCGGGTTGTGACCATAGTCCTAGAACGAATTATGGTCGCGACCCAAGGTTCCACTGTACTCATTTACTGATAAGAAAGGTGGCAGGAGTTCCTCCTCTTTTTTGCCACCTTTTGCTGCCTGGAGCTTCTGTAAAGCATTGGCTAAATTTTGACAAATAGTAACTGTTAGGGATAACATTGTTTACCCTAACTGTTTTGGGTAAAAATAATAAATATGGTATCATGGTTTGTTAGTTAAAGTGTGTGTAACTTTAACAGTAAGAATGTAATTAAGGGTGTGGTTGTAAAAGCACTATATAAGAAGCGAGGCAACTGCAGCTCACTCTCTCTGGCTTACTGATCCCTAATTACTGAATGGATTGATGACTGCGTTCTTGCTGGAACGGGGAGAGATAAAGGAATAGGAGAGAAGATAAAGATTGGACTGATTTATTGTAAGTGAACTGACATTGGCTACTCAACACGGATTTTGCAAATAGAGTATCCTCGACAAGACTTGACTGAAATTGATATATGACTAATGGACCGTTTGTTTGACTATGCTATAATTCTTAAATGGAATAAACTATATTTTTGATAGCACAAGCGTATCTGTATTTTTACTAGAAAACTTATCTCACACATTTACCTGTCTTCCTATCTGACTTCGCTGCACATTCTGTTTAGTTTGTTTTCCTTAACACCCGTTGGGGAATCCAGGCTTAACAGTAACTGCTGCTCCTTATGCAAAAACTCACTTGCTATTCAGCCCCCTCTTCGTTAAAAGGCTAAGTGGGTATGTTTCTATGATACTAGAAATAATCCTGTTCACCGTTGTAGAAAGTTAGCGCCTACCTCTCTCTTAGAAGAATGAATATTCTAGGAAATATTAAAAAGGCGGAATATTATATTTTCCTGGATGAGAAAAGGAGAAACATGTTTTTAAAGGCAAAGCAGCTTCCTGCAGCTCCCTGCCCCTCCACCCTTCAGCTCCAGGGTGATGAGATTAAGACATGGCCCTCGGGACATGATGGAATTAGCCCTCTACCCATCTCACCACACGGCACCTGGGAAGATTACATCACCCAGCAATATTCAACCATGCTTGCGACTGAAGACAAGGTGCAAAGTTACCCTGCATGGCCCCATGGGAGTCTGACAACCAATCAGAATACATCTCTTGCCACAGGAACAGGAAGCGAGGTCAAAGCCCTCCCTCTCTCATCCAGGTGCTCTTTTTTGCCCAGGACCTCAGTGTGGTCCTGTCCACCATTAAAACCATCTTTCTAAGCAGTCACCATATTTCCTGTGTCTTTCTTCCTACTTGGAACTGAACCCAGAAGGATAATTCTTTCAACAGGAAATTTCATCTGGTGCCAAATGATGCAATCTTCAGCTTGGCAGCTGAAACTGAAAGCTGATAAACAACTTAAATTAGAAAAAAAAATCTGCACAGAACCTTCCAATGTGAGGCACATGACTTGCCAGAAATTCAGAATCTACTTGAATAGCTGAGACCCAAAACTCCAACAGCTCTACCAATAATGTTACAACAGCAGATAACCCAACTGTATTGGCAGTTCTGAAGACCACACAACATGGACTTTGTTGTTTTGTTGTACTTGATAAGTAGTATGAGTTTTCTTGTATTTTAATTTGGTTTATTTTTCTCTCTTTTAAATGTAATGTTAATAGCTTATCAAACCTTGCGGGCTGGAATATAGAATGCTTTTTCCTTCTTACTGCAGATTTTATTTATTTATTTATTTTTGTCAATTGCTTACAAGATAATAGGTATAAGTAAAAACATAGTTATGAATACATGGATACATATAAGAAAAATAAAAAATAAAAGAAACAATAGGACACGGACGGTAGGCACATTGGTGCGCTTATGCACACCCCCTACAGACCTCTTAGGAAAGGGGTGAGGTCAATAGTAGACAGTCTAAGGTTGAAGTTTTTGGGGTTTGGGGAAGAAACCACAGAGTCAGGTAGAGTATTCCAGACATTGACCACTCTGTTGCTGAAGTCGTATTTCCTGCAATCAAGTTTGGTGCGGTTAACCTTGAGTTTGTATCTCTTGTTTGCTCTTTGTTGTTATGGTTGAAGCTGAAGTATTCATTGACAGGTACGACATTGCAATGTATAATTTTATATACTATACTTAGATCGGACCGAAGGCGGCGTAGTTCTAGGTTGTCTAGGTCTAAAATTTCAAGTCTGGTGGCATAAGGTATTCTGCAACGAGTAGAGGAGTGGAGAACTCTTCTTGTGAAATATTTCTGGACTTTCTCAAATGTGCTAATATCAGATACGTAATGTGGGTTCCAGACTGATGAGCTGTATTCGAGTATTGGTCTAGCAAATGTTTTGTATGCTCTAGTTATTAGTGTAATATTACCAGAGAAAAAGCTACGTAAGATTAGGTTAACAACTCTTAACGCCTTTTTGGCTATGTAGTTACAGTAAGTGCTAGAGCCCACTGTAACTATATAGCCAAAAAGGCGTTAAGAGTTGTTAACCTAATCTTACGTAGCTTTTTCTCTGGTAATATTACACTAATAACTAGAGCATACAAAACATTTGCTAGACCAATACTCGAATACAGCTCATCAGTCTGGAACCCACATTACGTATCTGATATTAACACAGTTGAGAAAGTCCAGAAATATTTCACAAGAAGAGTTCTCCACTCCTCTACTCATTGCAAAATACCTTATGCCACCAGACTTGAAATTCTAGACCTAGAAAACCTAGAACTACGCTGCCTTCGGTCCGATCTTAGTATATAAAATCATATTGCAATGTCCTACCTGTCAATGAATACTTCAGCTTCAACCATAACAACACAAGAGCAAACAATAGATACAAACCTAAGGTTAACCGCACCAAACTTGATTGCAGGAAATACGACTTCAGCAACAGTGTGGTCATTGTCTGGAACACTCTACCTGAATCTGTGGTTTCTTCCCCAAACCCCAAAAACTTCAACCTTAGACTTTCTACTATTAACCTCACCCCATTCCTAAGAGGTCTGTAAGGGGCGTGCATAAGCCAATGTGCCTACCGTCCCTGTCCTATTGTTTCTTTTATTTTTCTTATATGTATCCATGTATTCATAACTATGTTTTTACTTATACCTATTATCTTGTAAGCAATTGATAAACCAAACAAACAAACTGTTTAATATTGATTGATAATCTGGTTTGTCTCTCTGTGGATTCTAAGTAACCTTGTGATATTTTTCCTCATTAACATCTTAAATTCTACTCCCACAAGATCCTTGAAGCTTATTTTAATGAACATACTTAGGATTATGGGGTGTAAATAGGTAACATGTTTGACTTCATGTAACTGATTTCCTATGCAAAGATGAGGATGTGTTTGTCTATCAACTTTCCTTTTGTATTTTTCTTTGATGTGTTAACTATAAAAGATAATGCAAGTTGATACCTGGGGCTTTCTCTTTGCATGAGAGGATCTGCTTTTATCAGAACATTCTGAATAAATTGTAATTAAATGATCTTTCTCTCCCAGATTGCATAATTGGAGAACTGGCATGCTGGGGCATGAACCTAGAGCCAGATTTGGCCATCAGTTCTTACTAAGCAAACATAGTTGATGCTTAAAAGTCTGTCAGGCCTCTTTGAGAAATTTTCCTGAATCAAAACATTGAGGACTTGACAATATGTTTCTCAAAGACAATGCATTATTTGGGGAGAAACTGAAGGGTGGGCTGTTAGAAACTGATGGGGCAAATAGCAGTCAAATAAAGGCAGAGTTGATTATACACCAAGCAACTCCTTAGTAATAAAGTCACTTCAATGAAGGGAAGCTCCCCTTCCAGAAG